GTTGACAAAATCAAGGTGGAATTTGTGTTTAGTCATTCTCGGCTTCGAGGGGTCCTCAACCAGGCTCCAGGGCCATCAGAAAACGGTCCGAGATGATGAGCCGGTCTCCAGGAGGTTGTCCAGAATGTCTGGGGGCCATGTACTGGGAAAATCAAGTCATCGCAGGTCTGGGGCCTCTCGTGACGTGGGCGAAAAACATATCCGTATCCGCGGCCTCGCGGGCAGGGCCCCTGAGCCGCGCGGGGCGTTTTTTTTGTCGGATGCCCCGCACGGAACGTATCCGCGCGACCGCGTATCTGCGGGACCGCACCTTGGAATCCAGACCACGGTGGCGCGGATACGGATATGTTCGCTGCTCGTGAGGTGGCCTCCCGTGCCTCTTGCCGAGGGCAGGCTTCGGTTTGGTGGCCATTTCCATGGGCCTCCTGGAGCGCGCCCTGGTGGCCACGGCTGGATCCGCCTCGAGATGCTGTTCCAGCCGCGCCCCAGGAGAGGTTGGGTTCCCCAGGCGTCGCGGAAAAAATGGCGACGGGCGCTTTTTCTCGATGTTCTGGCCTCAGGGGGCCGTCATTCGTAGGCGAAAAACATGTTCGTATCCGCGGCCTCGCGGGCCGGGCCCCTGGGCCGCGACCCCGCAGATACGGGGCGTTTTTTGTCGGATGCCCCGCGCGGAACGTGTCACGTGGCCGTGCGACCGCGTATCCGCGGGATTGCGCTCGGGAGTCGAGATCGCCAGGGTGCGGATACAGATATGCTCGCCGCTCGTGAGTCATCGGGCCCCTGGGTCATTGAACCACGATCCGCGACGAAAAAGCCGGTCCCAGGGTCTGAGGGATCGGTCGGGAGCCTTGAGACGGGGGGGTCAATGCAAACGGGGGTCAGCCAGAGCGCCAGACCTTGCAGGATCCTGCCTAACTGACCTAGACTTGCATTGACCTGGGTCAGTGCGTCCCCGAATCGGGCTGAGAATCCAGGGCCCCATGTCCCACGCCGACGCCGCCGATGCATCGCCGGCGTTGCCGATGCATCGGCGATGCGGCGCGATCGTCCGACCCCATTTGCTCGAACCCCACCTTGGAGGCCTCTAAGGGCCGCATGTCCCACAGTGAAGCAGCACGGCCCGAGAGGCCCGGGAGGTGCGCACGAGGAGGAGTGGCCCTCTGTGGCTTCCCGGGAGCCTTTGCTGCAGGCCTGCGCCGCGCTGGTGCGGGTGTTCCAGGCGGAACGCCACCGCTGGCCCGAGCCAGGCTGGCCGAAAGGGCAGAGGATACGAAAGAAAGAAACAATTGCTGGGCACTCCCCTTCTCCCCCAAACTCAAAGTTGCCATGCGACGGGGAAGACTGCGGTCGAAGTGCGACTCGATCAACCCACCGGCAACATGGATCATGGGGGGTGGCATTGACAGATGAATGTGGCATGAGCGTTCGCCAATTTCCTCGGAGGCCTGTAGGGCCTGTAGGGAAAGGGGGGGCTACGAAATCTGCTGCACGCAGCCGGTTTCCGCCCCGCCGTCGGGCCCATTTCTCGATGCATGGGTGCCTCCCGGCGCCAGGAAGTGCCAGGAAGACCAGCTGCGTGAGCCGATTCTCTACCATGCTCTTTGCTATCCTACCCTTTCGTCCTCCGAGCCAGGTCAGATTGGAACGATCTCCGCTGTCGACCAGCTGGGGTCGCGTGCGATTGAGCAGTCCACAGTGGACCGTTCAGTCTCCTTGAGATCCGACGTAGCGAGAAACAATGCAACATCGTAGACAGACTCGACTTGTGCCCTGGGCCCCATCGACTCGACTCGACTCGACAGACTCGACTTGCCGTATTTTTTCAAGCCAGATTGACCCGTGAGCGTCCAGGGGCCCGAAACAGCGCAAAGTCGCCCGTTGTGAAAATTTGCGACGCAAGGATCCCAGGGTATCGCTGACGATCGAGCGGTCCACCGTGGTCCAGTTAGTCTTGCGCCGTGGACCCATCAATAATGAGCGTAGGCACCGCGCGGACAAGCCCGCGCGGTGTCAGTAAGCCAGAGGCCCGCGTCGGCGCGGCAGGAGCCTGCCGCACCGGTCGCTCTGCCGAGCGTCTGCGGCAGGCTCTCCCGGGGTGCACTCCAGCGGCCCGGCCTCGCCGAGTATGCCTTCCAGTCAGGGGCTACGTTAGGGGGGGGATAGGCTCAGGGAGGATTCATGGCCCCCAAATCGTCCACTCATCGCCGGGCCCGATAGCCCACCCCGCCCAGGAACGTTCGAATTTGCTATCAGGAACGTGCGAATTCAAGCTCGATGCTCCCCCCCCTGGGCCAGTCCCCCCGTGACGTTGCCCCCCATCTAGGGTGTGTGTGTGTGTGTGTGCGTGCTGGAATCCTCCTCCTCCTCCTCCTCCTCCTCCTCCTCTCCTCCTCCTCCTCCTCCTCCTCTTCCTCCTCCTCCTCCTCCTCGGCAGGCTAATTTCAGCATCCTTCCTCCTACTCCTACTTCTACCTCATCCTCCTTCTATTCCTCTCTCCTCCCTCCTCCCGCCTCCCTCCTCCCTCCTCTCGCCTCCCTCCATCCCTCTTCCTTATGCATGGCTCCTCCCTGTCGCGCCCGGAGACGGGTCGGTAGGGCGGGCCGGGCGTTTCGCTTGTGATTTCCGTTCCATTTATGGTCCTGAGTCTTGAGGTTCGCAACAGCTTCACGGATGGAGGACGGGTCGTTTTGAACAGTTGGTTTCCGCATTCGTGTCGCGCACATTCGTGCTGAAAATTTATAAGAATTTGATGGGTGGAGGGCGTGGGATTTTCAACATGTGGTTTTAAGTCTAGCGCCACGCGCATTCGGCCTAAAAGTGTATAGGAATTCCATGGATGGAGGGCTGGCCGATTTCAAATGTGAAGCGCCGCGCTCATCCGTCTTAAACATTTGCAAGCATTTCACGGATGGAGGGCGTTTTCTTTTCAAAGTGTGGATTTCGCCTCGGCGCCGCGTACCTTCGTTCCAACATCAGTTTACACCAGTTTCAGATATTCTAATGGTTGAAGTCCCAGACATGGTGCATTGGCACGATTTAGGGATGTCAGGTCGCGACGGTCACGTTGATTCGCGGTGTGACGTCCCAGAAATGTTGTTCTGGCACGATTTAGAATCGTCAGTTCGTTACCACAATGCGGATTCGCGGCGCTGAAGTCCGATGACTGCTGCGTTGGCACGGATGATGATTTTCAGACGGCTGTCTTCCAATGGGGCTTTTGCCGTAGGGAAGAGCAATCTTGCTAGGAGCCTATCCAGGGGGAACTTTGAGGGAGGGTTTATTGCAACATCGTTGATGAATCTTGGGTTTGCACTGGTCCCTCCCTTCTGCTCCTCCTCCCTCCTCGGATTCCGGCCGCCTGCTGGAATCCTCGTCCTCGTCGTCCTTCTCGTTACTCCTGTGGTCCGGGTAAGCAGCAGATGTTTGCCAGCGTAATATCTATGGTGCAATATCTGAGGCGCAACCAACGTGGTGCAATCTATGTGGTGCAAGCTGCGCGGTACCATTTTTGTGGTGCAAGCTGTGTAGTGCGCTCTTCATCCCTAGTCCGAGAGTTTCCTCTTGCATGGAGAACAATGGATCACATGTCATTCAATTACGTGTGTGCAGGAGTCTCGTGGATCCAACTTGTCGATCTTCTAGGAACAATGTTGTGGCGTGGAAGCGGCGTGTATGTCATTCTTTGGCTGGAAAAGAATATATAATCTTGTTTGGTAATCTGGATCTGCAGACCAATTCTATGATTTTGCGGGGGAGGGGGTTCCCTGTTGGATGGCCAGTCGGTTGATCGTGATCGTCGGTTGGTCGGTCGGTCGGTCGGCTGGCGCGTCGGTCGGTGGGTTGTCGTTGTCGTTGTCGGTCGGTCGGTCGGTCGTCATCGTCGTCTTCTTCAGTCGATCCGTCGTCGTCGTCGTCGTCGTCGTCGTCGTTGTCGTCATCTGGGGTTCAAGAGGAAACTCTTTAGGCCTGCGTAAGGATGTTGTGCAAGCTTTGCGGTGCAACATCTATGGCGCAAGCTGTGTGGTACAAGACATGTGGTGCAAGCTCTGTACAGCGGACCCCACGCACTCTCCATGGGACACCGGGGCGGATCCTGCCAGCGAGCGGGGCGTCCTCGAGGCGCCCACGAGGCGCCGACGGGTGCTCACCCCGGGCGAAACCTCGGCGGACCCAGCCAGCGGACGGGACGCCCACGAGGCACCCACGGGCGCCCACCAGGCAAAACCTCAGCGGACCCAAGCAATGTCTAATGGATGCGAAGTAAGCCCCTAAGTAAAAACGTTTTTCGTGGAAGACAGATGTGCCCAGGAGTTCTGACAATCATTTTCGGAGCGTGGAGCACCTTGCTCCTGGTTGTCCTTGCATCCCCTGGCTCTTCGGCTGAACCCGGGGCAGTTGTGAACGGACGTCCACGGGTCCGTGCACGGACGTCCAGGGGTCTGACGTCTGTGCCTTGTGTCTGTACGTTTGATTTTGATTGTGTATGCCGCAGAGGCAGTCGGGCAGGAGCAGGACCAGTAGAGGAGGAGGAGGAGGAGGAGGAGAAGGAGGAAAAGGCGGAGGAAGAGGAGGAGGAGGAGTTGGAGGAGGAGGAGGAGGAGCAGGGGGAGTGCCTGCCGCTCAAGGTGATTATGTACAAGGGCCAGCGGAAGACAGTGCTTCGCATCGGAGCCGAGGTGCCCAAGGACGAGATCGTCGGCTTCTTCACCCCAGTCTCCGAGACCTTGCCCGAGGACGCCAACGGCGAGGGCGTGATCGTCCACCGCGTCTCCGGCAGCACCTTCGTCCGGGACGTTGTCGCGGCAAGCGTCAATCGGCCAGTGTTGCTGCAGATGTACGAGGACACCTGCTTTCTCTGCTTCCTGATGCGGCCCTTCGTGAACTCGCTCGCGGAACTGCTGCGCGAGCACAAGGTGCCGCTCACCATCAAGCGGCTCAACATAGAGAAGAACGACTTCCCTAGCGGCTGCCCAGTGGCGAGGGGTACGCCCACCTTCGTGATATCCGTAAGGGCTTCGCCCCCTGCTGCCGGCTCCTTCTCTATCATAATGGGATGAATCAGAGTCGCGTCGGTGCGTCTCGGCGCTGCCTTGGCGCACCTGGGAACATCATGCGGGGGCGGGTAAGAATCATCAGTGCATATTGACACGTTAGCGTTACCGAAGACGCCTACGGCGAATCACCGCCGCCCCCCTGCCTTTCCGGAAACGCCTACGTGGCAGAACGTTGGGTTAGAGCTTGGCCAAGCTATCGGACTATGTGTTCCCCGAGTCGGTTTGGAAAGCCTTCGGGGAACACGTGGGGGAGGAGGAAGAGGAGGAGGGGGAGGAAAAAGGAGAGGGAGGATGAGGCCTCTTGAGAGCCTCTTGAGGCACTCTTGAGCTTTATTGGGCCATCTTGGCGGTCTTGGAGGCATCTTGGGACCGTCTTGCAGGTCATATTGGGATTATCTTGGGGCCTCTTGGGGCCATCTTGACCGTCTTGGATTCTTCTCGGAGGCCATCTTGGGCCATATTGGCCGTCTTGGAGGCGTCTTGGGACCGTCTTGGAGGCCATCTTGGCCGTTTGGGAGGGATCTTTCGTGGACTTTGAGGTCTTGTATGGTCTCTCCGTAGCTGTTGAGGCTCTCTTAGGGTCGTTTTGTTGGCCTCTTGGGCCATCATGGGGCCATCTTGGAGGCCTCCTGCTGTTCTGGAAGAGCCTATGTGTCGGATCGTTGTGGCTACATTTTTTCCTGTCTAGTTATTGGCCTGTTTGTTCTTCGAGTTGTGTTCGAAAGCTTTCGGGGAACACGAGGGTGATAATGACCGCAGTGAGGGCTTCGATCTGGTCCCACTCACCGTACTTGATGGGCATCTTTGGACAGTATGTGGGGTTGCCTTACGTGGCGGGGCGGCCACAGAACTTGAAAGGTGTTTTCGAGGTCTCGATCGACATCGCCGAATAAATGTTGTACGGCTACTAATGTTCAGGGGGGTGTCGTGCCTTGCTTAAAGCACTATTTGCTCGGTGTCTGGATATCGGACAATGTGTTCCCCGAGCTTGTTTGGACAGATTTCGGGGAACACGTGGGCGATACTGAGTTCAATAAGGACGCCGAGCTGGTTTCTCTCGCCCATCTTGGGGCTCTCCTTGGACATGCTGTGGGCTCGCCCAACATGAAGCGGGTAGTTTCGGGCCCAGTGGGGCTGTCCAGGATCGCTTGGATTTGGCGAGAGCACTTCGTTGACGTGCAATGCTCGTGACTTTTGCTTGCGTCGTGTCCGTCCGTAGATGCATTTGGGCTCGATGCCGTCTAGACTCAGCATGCGACACATTTAACATACACTTCGATTGCTAGACAGTGCAGGGCCATGCCCAGCTCGTCCGCCATTGGGTCACCCCGTTTGGGCGCCCAGCAAAGCGTCGACGAAGATTTCGAAGACGTCGTGGAAGAAACCCGAACGACCAGGAAGTGTAGAAGAGGACCCGAAGAAACCGCGAAAATCGGTGGGAACCAAAATCGGCCCGCGGATTTGCGATTATTCTCTGGCATGGCGAAGCAACATCCGAGGCAACGTTGCGTCGAAGAAGGCGGCGCAACTCATCGCGCAATTTATGGCGGCATGCTGTGGAACCGCGACGGAGCGAGACGAGGTCGGCGCGGATGCCAATGGCGAGGGAAGCAAGGCGCAGAACGCGCCATATCAGAAACTCGCACTTCGGTCGGTGCATGAGATACTGGACGCGATGTCTGCAGGGCTGGAGGACGCGGGTGAGAAACGAGCTCGCGGCGACGATGCGAAAGAGACAAAGATCGTCGCCGACGATGATCTCGACGAGGCGAGCCGGAGCCGGGTGCAGTCAGGCACCGTGAACGAGGGCGCGCAGTTGACGGAGAGACAGCGGCCCCGAGAATTTCGCCCATGGCCGGAGGAAGGCGCGGAGGCGGCGCGCAGCGTGTCTTCCCAGACAGGTGGCAATATCGCGAACGCCGACAAGGAGAACAAGAAGCGGTTGAATAAGAAGAATTTGCAGATGGAGGCGCGCGTCAAATGGAGGCGCACCTCCGTGGATATTGGTTGATGCAATTGAAGCGGGGCGATGGACAGCCGAACGAGGCTCAGAATGATTCTACAGGCTTACGCCACATCCGCCGACCCCTTCTGTGAGTGTTGCGAGGCCAGGAGTTTGTGGCCAGCGGCGTCTTGTGTGAGGGTGCAGTGTCGCGCGCGGGTGGTGGCAGATACGTAGGGGGTCCAAATGTTTGCGTGATGCCGGTGGCCTGGGGCGTGTTTTGCGAGCGCCTTGCGCGCTGTGCACCTGGGTGCGGGGTGTCCTTCTGGGAGGTCGGCCTTTCGACCCGCAACCAAGTGGAGGACCGCCGGGAGACGAAAGGAGCAAGAGTGGTGCGCGGAAGCTGTGATCAGCGAGGCATCACCGCGAAAGATGCGGCAGATGAGTCGAAGCGGTCGGAGAGGCTGTCGACGCTTGCAGCGCGCACTAAACAGTTCGCGCGGCAGCAGCACATTAGCGCCGAGCAAGATAGTGAGCACTTCACGAGGCAGGGTAAGGCTGTATGCGCGGAATGCATTGCAGTTGGCTTTACTCACCACGCACCAAACCACCCCAACCCAACCCGAAGGCTCAGATTTACCCTCGATTTCCAGTGGGGGGGGTCGGGAAACATAGGAAAAACACGTGTGGAACCCTTGCCCCCCCCAACCCGAAATTCGGGTCTTCGGGTTGGGTTGGGGTGGTCTGGTAGGTAGTCATTTACGGCTCGCAATGCGGAAGCGTCTGGGGGTCTTTGGGGGCCTCCTGGGAGCCTCTTGGGGGCTCCGTGAGGCGTCTTGGCGGCCTCTTGGGGGCCTCTGGCGGCCTCTTGGGGCACTCTTGGGCCCCCCTGGGGCTCGTGGGGGCCCCTCTTGGTGCCGTCGTGGAGCCTTCTTGGGTCGTCTTGGGGACCTCTTGGGCCGTCTTGGGGCCATTTTGGGCCGTCGTGGGGCCGTCTTGGGGGCCTCTTGGGCCGTCTTGGGGCGGTCTTCGGGGGCCTCTTGGGCCGTCTTGGAGCGTCGGTTAGCCCACAAGGCGAATGTGTGAAACAATATACGTTTTACGAAAGACATGAGCACATTTTTGCGTCTAGGCACCCCCTTGGGACGTATCTTGGAGGCCTCTTGGGGGCGTCTTGGGCCATCTGGAGACCATCTCGGGTGTGTTTGATCGCTCTTGGACCGTCTGGGACCATGTTGAGCTCTCTTGGAAGCACTTGGAGCGCTCCTGGAGCGCTCTTGGGGCCGTCTTCGGGGCTCTCTTGGGCCGTCTTCGGCGCCTCTTGAGCCGTCTTCGGGCCTCTTGGGCTGCCTTGGGGCCCTCTTGGAGGCTTCTTGGACCGTCTTGGGGCGGACTTGGGGGCCTCTTGTGCCGTCCGAACGAGGCTCATAATGATTTCCTTTTCCTGCGTGGTGCGGCGCTGCAAGCAGGAGCGCGCCAATATCCAGAATTTCGTCGCTCGCCGCGGCGGCGGGCATGAATTTGCCAGGGGGGACACACTTCTTAGATGTTGTCTGATGGGCGCACCTGGCGCGGGGAAATCCACGCGCATGCAGCGCGCGAGACGTCTCTTCGAAGAGTGCTGGGGGCGAAGGGGCGGCGCGCAGTTCCAGTTTCTGGCGTCGCAGAACGCCGCGGCAGCGTTCGCGGGCCGCCAGGGGATCCACTAGCGGGGGGGCACCGCGCAAGCCAACGACAAAGTGCGATCGAAGGGGGTGGGCAGGGGCGTAGACGAGCTGTGTCAGAAAGCCGTGGGAATTCGGCGGGTCGTGATCGATGAGATCAACGCGGCGTCTACGTCGCCCCCGGGGCAGTTCGACGCGTGCCTGCGGAGAGCGTGTCTGCGCCATCCTTGCGCCTGCCGGGGCAGGCGGCGGCGTCCATTCGGAGGCGTCATCGCGGTGTGAGCGGGGGACTTTTGTCAATTGCTGCCATCGAAGCAACTGTCCGCGCTTGCGAATCCGTTTACCGCGGGAGCGTCCATAGAGGAACAGCGGCGCTGGATATGTTCTGGATCCCAGACGATAAGGGCGGCGTCGAGGGGACATTTGTTCTCGCGGTGCCCATGCGGGCGAAGGACAAGTGGTTGCGCGCCGCGTTGGGCGCGAAGCGAGACGGGTCAGGAACTTTGGAAATCTATTGTTTCATTCACGGACTGCCCGCGCGAGGCGCGGGAACGTGGTTGCCCGGGAGGAGGGGCCATTATGCTGGAATCCTACATGCGACCTTCAGAAAGGTAGCACGGGCGGGTGTATTTCGGCGTGGACGTGGAGACGTGGACGCCAACATGGGGCGCGACGTCTGCAAGGCGACGCGTCGGCGTCGACGCTGCGCGCTTCTGCCCGACGGCAAGAGGCGCGAGCGGCGATTGCAGGATGCGCCATTCGACGCGGTTCTTTCCGTGCATCCGTTCCGGCACCCGTCGTTCCATGCGACTCAGCTGAGGGCCATCTCTTTCGCGATGGCGAACAACGAGCAGGCGTTGTGGGTTGTCGCGCGCGACGAGGACAGGGCGGATGGAAGCGGGGGGGGGGGGGGGGCGTGGGGCGACGGAGAAACGGACGCATTCCCCGAACGAGCTCCCGTCGCATCCGGGAAACGCACGTAGCAAGGGTTTGACTTTTTCACGGCCCCCTCCATGCGTGCCCCGAGACGTCGGATAATCATGTCGGGGAACGCAGCCCAATGGCGTCAAGATCATCGATGTTGTTAGCGCCGTATTCCGGCCAAAGAGACGCCGCCTGGCGCGCCGGCGCGATTCGCGAAGATTCTCGCCCCCGGTGTTCCCCGCAGGATTGAAGGATTTCTTCGTTGATGACATCGCCGAACGGAACTGCAGCGCACGCAGGCGATGTTCTTCGAACGGTGGAATTCCGCCCGGGGAGACTCGCTCACGGGCCTGGGGTAATCGATCGCATGCGTGACGGCGAATCGGAGTTCCACAGAGTCGCAACCGCTGTTCCC